TTAAATAAGCAGGGTGACAATATACAGCCTTGACGTACTCCTTTTCCTATTTGGAACCAGTCTGTTGTTCCATGTCCAGTTCTAACTGTTGCTTCCTGACCTGCATACAGGTTTCTCAAGAGGCAGGTCAGGTGGTCTGGTATGCCCATCTCCTTCAGAATTTTCCACAGTTTACTGTGATCCACACAGTCGAAGGCTTTGGCGTAGTCAATAAAGCAGAAATAGATATTTTTCTGGAACTCTCTTGCTTTTTTGATGATCCAGCGGATATTGGCAATTTGATCTCTGGTTCCTCTGCCTTTTCTAAAACCACCTCATGTGAAGAGTTGACTCATTGGAAAAGACCCTAATGCTGGGAGGGATTGGGGGCAGGAGGAGAAGGGGACGACAGAGGATGAGATGGCTGGATGGCATCACAGACTCGATCGGCATGAGTTTGAGTAAACTCCGGGAGTTGGTGATGGACAGAGAGGCCTGGCGTGCTGCGATTAATGGGATCGCAAAGAGTTGGACACGACTGAGCGACTGAACTGAACTGAACTGAATGTGTATGTGTTAATTCCAACTTCCTAATTTATCCCTCCCCCACTTTCCCTTTTGGTTATCATAGGTTTGTTTTCTATGTCTGTGGGTCTATTTCTGTTTTGTAATTATGTTCATTTGCATCTGTTTCTTTTTTGAGATTTTTACATATAAGCAAATTTCATATGACATTTGTCTTTCCCTGTCTGGCTTACTTCACTTAGTATGCTATCTTTTAATATTTCTTTTGAACCAAGTCTATTGGTGATCAATTCCTTCAAGTTTGTTTGTCTGGAAAAGTTTTCTCTCTCCTCATTTCTGAAGGATTACTTTGTCTAATATGGTATTCCTGATTGGAAGTTATTTCCTTTTAGTACCTTGAAGATACCATCCCACTTTCTTCTGGACTGCAAGGTTTTAGATGAGGAAACTGCTCATAGTATTATCGGAGTTTCCTTTTATTTGTTGATTTGCTTTTCTCGTGGTATGTTCAAAATTCTCTTTGTCTTGGAATTTTGAGAATTTTATAAAAATGTGTCTTGGCTAAAATCTCTTTATGTTTAGGTTATGTGCATTTCTTTGGGCTTCAAGGATCCAGGTTTTCATTTCCTCCTCCAGATTAAGGAATTTTTTTGTCATTATTTCTTTAAATAAGCTTTGTGCCCCTTTTACTTTCTGTGCTCCTTCTGTGACTCCCTCCCATATGTGTATATTGGTTTGTGTATGGTGTCCCATAAGTCTCTTTTATAATCTTTTTTCCTTTTGTTCCTCTGACTGGGTAATTTTAAGTGACCTGTCTTTGAATGCAGTGGTTCTTTCTTCTCCTCAGTTCCAGAATTTCTTTTTGGTTCTTTTTTATGATTTCTTCACTTTCTTGAACTTCTCATGCATCATTTTCCTGATTTTGTTTAGTTGTCTGAGTTCTCTTGTAGCTCACTGGGCTTCTTTAAATGGTTATTTGGAATTCCTTTTCAGATAGTTCATAGATATCCATTTCATTAGGACCAGTTCATGGTGCCTTATTTTGTTCTTTTGGTGGTGTCATGTTTCCCTGATTAATCCTCAGCCTAGTGGCCTTTAGTTGGTGTTTCCCTATTTGAAGAACTAGGCACATCTTCCCATCTTTATAGATTGGCTTTGGTGAGGAAAGCCTCTTATCCATCAGCACCACCATAGATTATGTGTAGGACACCTGGCAGGCTCCACAGGTGAGCTTGCTGCTGGAGTCCTTGAGTAGGCTGATCTGGTGCCTGGGTCAGTGAACGGGCAAGCTTTCAGCCTGGATCTGCAGGGGATCAGCCTGGATCTTGAAGCCTAGGCCCAGGGGGCTAGCCTGGCACTGAGAGAGACCTGGAGGCTTGGTTCACAGAAGACTGGACTGGAAGCTGAGCTGTGGTTACATCTTGGTGATTAGAGTCACAGGGCCAGCTTGGCATTGTTGGCCCTGGATTCTGGGTCTTTAGGGGCACGCTTAAAGACTGCACAGAATGGCCTAGTACTGGAGCAGGTCTAGAGCCTAGCTTGGTAGAGGCTGGCCTGGAGGCTGGAAAAATGGGGGATGAGTTGCTTGGGTTTACTGGGGTGGGCCTGGTGCTGCAGTCCAAGGTAAAGTTGATTGCTCCCCTCACTCTTCTTTCTCCATGTGGAGGGGATCTCTCCCTGGACTACATAGTGTGAGCTTTGGGGAAGGATGACATGGGTAATATGAAAGTGTCCTTTCTAGCATCTGCAATGCACTTTTTTCTTATTTCTGTACTCCACCCAGGTATTCTTATCTCTCATATGGATTCCATAGCTCTCATTTAAGGACTTTTCTTGCACAGATAGTTGTTTGAATTCATTCATGTTACTGTGAAGGGACAAGCACTAGAAACTCCTATTAAGCCATCAGTCCCCTGTGTTAGCAGAATTTTATTTAAAATCTCAGAATATTCAGAAAACACATTGCTCACCTATGTCAATGTATTGAGGTACAGATTTAAGAACACCTTGTATCTCCCACTGACCTGCTAAGGGAAAATGATTTTACAGGTTCATCTGTAAATTGATTAGGATGGGTTCATCAAGAGACTAATTCACTCTTTGGGCACAAATTTTACAAACCTTGCCTTGCCTGGCTCAGGACCCAGAAAGAGTCTGTCTTTACATGGAAAAAATTATTATGCATCCACTTCTGCTTTTCAATCTACTTTTTATCTCCAGTCACAATTAAGATGATAAGGGTAAAACTTTAGTACTGACCTTCAGTTTCATCCAGGGAAGAAGTATAGACAACTGTCCTTTCCCTCAGCAAGCGCTTTGAAATTGTAATTGGTTTGTGTCTTCTTGCTGTTACTCGAGGTGGAGGCACTGGGGGTGCAGTACTTTCCTCAGGTGGACCTGAATAGATCTGTAGAAGGGGAGTATTTCCAGAAAACAATTAGATCAACTTTTTGTATTCCTAATGCTAACTACCAGTTGATGCCCATCAGCATTACATCTAGTGTCTGCCAGAGAAATTCTAATATTACTAAAGGAATTAGGGATATTTTTCCTAAACACTCTAACCACCAGCAAGTAGAGATTTCCCACCAAGTTTGAGTGCAGGACCTGGGATTTCTCAGTGCAGAGAAAAGAATGCAAACAAAAATGGCAACATCAGGAGTGTACTCTTCTATATGCTAGATGGGATTGCTGTGTGACACATATTCACTGAACAAAACCAATTAAATTATTATTTTAAAAAATTGTGCAACACCAGTCCTGAATTTTCCACTTAATGCCTGGGAAACTGTAAAAAAGCTTTTCCCAACAAAAACTGTAAAAAAAGGTTTTGAAGCAAAACTCATTAAATATTCACCTCCCATCTCTGAGCCTTAGCTTCTTCATCTGTAAATTGCAGGGAGCACAACCTATCACAGGATGTGGTGAGAACCAAGAGGGAAGTTAGTTAAAGGACATTGTATGGGTAGAGGTGGGGTGTGAAGAATGATTAAAAACACCCACATGCATTCAATATTTCTGAAAAGATACCAAGAAACTGATTACATTGTTTGCACAAGACAGGAATAATGAGTGGCTCAGGGAAGGATGGAGGAAACTTATTTTTCACTTCTATATCATTTTGATTTAAAAAATTTTCAAGCCATGTATGCATTACTTATTCAAAAGAGAAAGGACGAAAACAAAGTTCTTTGGAAGTTATGATAATTGCTGGATAAGTGAGGGAGGAGCTGTGATTAGAATTTGTATATAGTGTCTCATATGTACTTAAGGATCTTCCTATCCCTGGGGAGAATGACCTTTTGGCCAGAGTGAACACAGTTTGGAAAGACACACATATGTGATGATGGAGGAAGGGAACTGGTTCCATTGCAATAATGAAATCAATCCCAATGATTTGTGCAAAATAATGTCATAGCCCAACATTCTATCAGGCAAGAATCAACACAGTTTGCATAGACACAGAACTTACATGATTGGGAACACAAGGCAAGCCTGTGTGAAAGCTGCACAATGATAGAGAACAAAGTAATAAGAATCATAAGGCAGTACATGTTTCAGTATCTCATGGAATAGGGAAAAAAGAATATGACATAGTAGCAAGCAGATGAGCTTTGAGGCCATATACTTTTAGGTCATATTTCTGGTGTCATCATTAGTAATAATATTCTAAATAGCTACCATTTTGTGAGCATCTTAAGCAGATGTAGTAGTTGTTACAAATATTCCTTGTTATTTATTTTTTTTCCATTTATTTTTATTAGTTGGAGGCTAATTACTTTACAATATTGTAGTGGTTTTTTGTCCAGAAGTGGGATTGCTGGTCATATGGCAGTTCTATTTCCAGTTTTTTAAAGAAATCTCCACACTGTTCTCCATAGCAGCTGTACTAGTTTGCATTCCCACCAACAGTGTAAGACATACAGATGGCTAACAAATACATGAAAAGATGTTCCTTGTTATTTATCAAATGCACCAGGGACTTCGCACTGAATGTTTCATCTACCTGGAGTGAGTTTCTTCCAGGTAACCATATCCATAGCTCGTGCTCTTGATTTCAGTAGGATTAATGATCAAATACACTCCTCTCAGTGAGTCTTTGCAGATAATTGTATCAAAATTTTGACATGCTTCCCTCTGCTGTGCTTCCTATCCCCCATCTCTATTTAACTTATTTTCTTATCACTTTCTAACACTGCTATTGCTATTTTTCAGTTGCTAAGTCATGTCCGCCTGTTTGCAACCCCATCGACTGCAGCACACCAGGCTTTCCTGTCCTCCACTATCTCCCGGAGTTTGGTCAAGTTCATGTGCATTGAGTTGGTGATGCTATCTAACCATCTCATCATCTGCCTCCCTCTTCTCCTTTCACCTTGAATCTTTTCCAGCATCAGGGTCTTTTAACATCATATATTTTACTTATTTAGCTTTTGGTTATCTGTCTCTCTACTTGATTGTATACTAGACTAAAGTATATCATCATATTCACTGTTATATCTCCAGTAGTTAGAAGAGTGACTAGAATTGCTGGGCCAAAAAACTAACAAATTTAAAATTCTGATATAAAAGGCCAAATTGTCCTCTGAAAATAACATGGCAGCCACTTTCCCTTCCAGCCAAAATAGGGTAAAAGGGCCTAGATTTATATCATCAGCATGGAACAATTAAAAAGCTAGGGAAAATGTAATAATGATTCTGATCATTATTAGGGCATTTGAAATCTGGCAATGAAGGACAGTGATCCATGAAAGAGGAAAAATAAATGAAGTGAACTCCATGATTTTTCCAGCATAAAGCCTGGAAAGATTCTTCAGGCCATACTCCAGGACAAGGAACCCAGAAGAGCCCAACAGTCTCCATAAGCTGAAGACACTGAGTTGTAAGTATGAGAAGAGCAAGGAAATGAGAGTTTTCAGGGCAGAGTACCAGACAGAAGATCTGCACAGAGAACTCTGGAGATCTTCAGGCATCCTCTTTAAGAATTTAGCTGCATACTGATCAATGCATATGTGTAAGGCAAGAACCACAGGACAAAATTAGAGGGAAACACAGTGGCTGGAAGAGTTCCTGTTCTCACCAGCCACAGTGAACTATTAAATAATTCACAGAGCACTGAATAGAGTACACAGACAAGTTTTGCCTCATTCACGAAGAAAAATTAACATGACTAAATACTATTTCTGCTTAAGTTTAAAAGAAATACTTGTAAATATCAAGCTGTATTTGGGTAACAATTGCACCCCAGAAAAAGCTCAAGAATATGACCTATAGTAACTAAAAAATAGCCAGAATTCAAGAAGGTAAAATTAATGTCTTATGTCTGATAAAAAATTATTGGGGTCACAAAGAGTTGGACATGACTGAGAGACTGAACTGAACTGATGATGTTAGCCATGGGCTTTTCCTATATGGTCTTAGTAATGTTGAGGTCTCTTCTTTCCATACGAAATTTGTTGAGTATTTATCATGAAAGGATATTGAATTTTGGCAAATGTACTTTATGTATCTATTGAGATTTTTTTTCATTCTAATAATGTGGTATATCACATTTATTGATTTGCATATGTTGAAGCATCCTTGCATCCCAGGGATGAATTCCAATTGATAATAGTCTATGAATCTTTTAAAGTGTTGCTCAATTAAGTATGCTAGTATTCTGTAGAGAATTTATGCTTTCTGTATTCATCAGGTATGTTGGCCTGTGGCCTATAGCTTTCTTTTCCTCCTTCCTCTTTCCCCATCCTCCTCTTCCTTCTGTTTTTTTAATAGAGTCCTAAACTGGCTTTGGCATCATGGTAATGTTGGCCTCATAAAATGAGTTTGGGAGTGTTCTCTCTCTTTCAACATTATTAATTGAGAATAATTGACATCAATTCTTCTTTTAATGTTTGGTAGAATTCACCAGTGAAACAATCTGGACCTGAGCTTTTCTTCTTCGGAAGATTTCTGAATACTGATTCAAGCTCCTCACTCACTGTTTGTTCAGATTTTCTATTTCTTCATGATTCAGTTTCACTAGGTTATGCATTTCTAGGAACTTACCAATTTTTCTAGGTTATCCAATTTTTTGGCATATGTTTATTTATAGTAGTCTCTTATTATCCCTTTTATTCTGTAGTGTATCCTTGTTTATTTCTGGTTTTATTTATTCAGGTCTTATTTCTTTATTTCTTAGTCTAGTTAAAGGTTTTCAGTTTTATTTATCTTTTTAAAAACTCAATGTAATTTCATTTATCTTTTCTATTGGTTTCCTGTTCTCTACTTCATTGATTTCTTTCTTTTTTTTCTCTGATCTTTGTTATTTCCTTCCTTCTGCAAACTTTGGGCTGAGTTTGTTCTTTTACCAATTGTTTGAGATGTTAAGTTAGGTTATTTGTGATCTTTCTTTTGTCTTAATGTAATGTAGTGTAAATGTAGTGTAATGTAATGTAATGTAAATGTAGTGTAATGTAAATATAGTGTTTTATTTGTGTAAAAGTCCCCTCTTAGAATTGTGTGTTCTCCATTTCAGAAGTTTTGATTGGTTGTTTTTCTATTGTCATGTATTTCAAGATATTTTTTGATTTCTTGCTTTCTCTCTTTTGATTTCTTGCTTGACCCTTTGGTTGTTCAAAAGTACATTGTCTACCACATATTTGAAATTTTTTTCTTCCAGTTATTGATTTCTAGTTTCATACCGTTGTGACCAGAAAGTACTTGATAAAATTTCAATCTTCATACATTTGTTTATTTTATGACCTGATGTTATCTATTCTAGAGAAAGTTCCATGTCCACTTGAGAAGAATGAGTATTCTGCTGTTGGTGGGTAAAATGTTCTGTATATGTCATTCAAGTTCATTTGGTCTAAGGTATAGTTCAGGTACAATGTTTCTTTAATTGAATTTCTGTCTGAATGATCTATGCATTTTTGAAAGTAGAATATTAAAGTCTTTCGTTATTTTATTGTTTATTTCTCCCTTCAGCACTGTAAGTATTTGCTTAATATATTTAGGTGCTGCAATGCTAAGTGCACATATATGTGCAACTGTTATATACTCTTGATGACTAGACCACATTATCATTAGATTATGGCCTTCTTCATCACCTTAAATCAGTTTTTGATTTAAAGTTTATTTTGTATGATACAAATATCCCTGCTTTGGGATCCATCAGGAACCATTGGGTTGGGTTCCATCTGCAGGAAATAACTTTTCCAACTCTTAACTTTGAGCCTATGTGTGTCCTTAAATTTTAAGTGTTTCTTTTAGGCAGCATATTGTAGGGTCCTATTTTCAATCCATTCAGCCCCTCTGCTTTTTGATTAGATATTTAATTCATTTACATTCAAAGTAATTATTGATAGGCAAGGATTTATTAATTCCAGCTTAATTATTTTCCGGCTATTTTGAAATTCCCTTATTTCTTTC